TTTTTAAGAGAAATTAAATAACCTTCTACCCTTTTTTTGTACTTATCTTCCTATCAATATAAAATAGTGACTACAAGTGTCATATTTTGATTAAATTAATTATATTTTAGGACATTTTTGATCATTTCAAATGGGTAGAAAGATATTTAGGAAGAAAAATAGAATGATATTTAATTTCTCTATTTTTAAATATCGGATACGTAAGAATAATGATAACTTTTGTTTGGCATAATTGTTCATGTTTAAAATTTTGAATATCTACATAAACATTTATATAGAGGAAAATTTAAAAATAGTTTTGTATGAAGAAACACACCTCCGCATATTCTCTTCCAAAGAAGATGAGTACAGTTTGGACCACCTCAAAACATCTGGCCACAATTAGTTCATGATCATTTTAAATGATGTTTATCTTTATCATGTATATGAATGGAAAAGAAAATAATTTCTTGTTTGTAATTTTAAAGTGAATATTGATTGCTCCCTTTGCTCGAAATGCGAATGGGTAAGAAAGCTATGAAAACATGAAAAAATTGAAGGTGACTTGAATGAATTTTCAGCATAACTTCTAACAAGTATGAACAAAGTTTAGAGAGATAAAACTGAATGTAATAAATTCCTCATCTATCATTTTATTGAGACCTTTCTATTTATATTACAAATTTATGTTGGTATTAAGTAACCGTCACTACTAGAAAACTAGGGCAATAGCTACGGCACAATCCGTATGCATTCAGTAGGTATAAGGCGATACCTACGGATTTGCTACGGAAAATGCCCTGTAGCATAAATTCCCGTGGGAAATTTATACATACAGATTTGCTACGGAGTAGCTACGGAATAGCTACGGCCAATTCCGTAGGTATAATACATACGGATTAGCTACAGACACGAATTGCTACGGAATACCTACGGATTGTCGACAGAACTGTTTTCCTACGGAATAGCTACGGAATCACATGCCTACGGGTTAGCTACGGAACTGTTTTCCTACGGAATAGCTACGGAATCACATGCCTACGGATTTCCTACGGATTAGCTACCTACGGATTTCCTACGAATTAACGACGGAATTCAAGTTTGACTTTCTTCCTACGGAATACCTACGAACCTATTTAGCGACGGATTTCCGTAGCTAGTCCGTAGTTAATTTCATTTTATCAAAAAATAAAAATTTTAAATTTTAAAATTTTCCATTTTTTTATCAAATACCATATATCAATTTAATTTGTCCAAAATACAATACAAAATACACCAAAAAATGTCCCTAATATCAACTTTGACATATTCCATTCCATTGTCTCAAAATACCATTCAAATGTCTCAAATACCATACAAATTAAGCATAACAAAACAAGCAAACAATACAAGTGTTTACAAATTCAATTGTTCCAAAATACATATCAATTGTCATCGGGTGGATTATCGGGGGGACCACGGGGTTGATTTCCAGACATATATATCATCCTTATAACCATTTCCATTTCTTTTTTTTCATTTGTTGTTGTTGTTGTTCCATGATAGAAACTTGCGCACTCAACCTATCAACCTAAAAAATGGTAACACAATTCAATACTTAAACAATAATAACAATGTACTTTAGTTTATTATAACATTTCATTTTAGTTTATAATTATAGCAATACACTTAACTTTTAAACCATAATAGCAACGTACTTTTGTTTATTATCAATTTAATCAATATTATCACCAAACTACCTAACTTTTAAACCATAATAGCAACGTATATTTATTTCTTATCAATTTCATCAATATTATCAACAAACTACATAACTTTTTACCATAATAGCAACGTACTTTTGTTTATTATCAATTTAATCAATATTATCACCAAACTACCTAACTTTTAACCATTATAGCAACGTACTTTTGTTTGTTATCAATTTAATCAATATTATCAACAAACTACATAACTTTTATCCATAATAGCAACATACTTTTGTTTATTATCAATTTAACCAATATTATCAACAAACTACCTAACTTTTCACCATTATAGCAACGTGCTTTTGTTTATTATCATTTTAATCAATATTATCAACATACCTCTTGTTGCGTGCTCTCCGACTGGGTGGAATGGGTGTATTGGGAAGATGGTGTCTCTGAAACCAAAAAACATATATCTGATGCTCCTATCCCATAAGTAGCACCATTCTTCTTTCCTTTTCTTCTAAGTTGACTTTCCTCCCATACATCTACATCATCCTTATGGTTTGCAAGATCTTCACCATATTTGTTGACCAACCCCTGTAGATATGCCTCCTACAAATTACCAAAACAACACGATTGTCATATACAAAAAATGAGACAATCAATATACATAAATGATAAAGATAAGTTACTTGTGCTTCTTTGGCCGTCTGTGAGCAATATTCGAGATTTTCATGATTTCCCTCAAAATCTCTTTTCTTCGACTCAGCAGTGCCATGTGTCTTCATGAAAACATCATAATGTGTGGGTGGTTTACCCATCAATTTTTCCTACATAAAAGTCAAAGTACAATTAATGTATTTAGTGTTATAACAAAATAAGAATAATAATATTTATAATTGTGATACTTACTAAGTTCCTACGGTGCTGGTCAAATCCTATACTACCCGCAATGTGTCTTGATGTTGACCCATTAGAATCTGTGGTGTTGCAGTTCTGCTGAGCGATTTTTGAATTCTTTTGCCACTTTTCTGTGGACCAATGCTTTGAAAAGAAAAAGATGTAAGTATAATAATGTAATAAGAAATCAAAAACTCAACAAAAATAATAATACTGTATCGTATCAGTTACATCATACAAACGTTGCCACACAGTCTCCGGTACGCATTCGGGGCGGTAGTTATGCATCCCATCATAGTAGCTACAAAACTTTTGGAGGAGGGGTTTCCCATCTTTTCGTGCCATGTTGGCAGACTGTGCCCTGATACCTTTCATCCTATCTTTGTATCTATCCTTGAGGACACATTTGAATGCATTAAATATGTTCTCATTCTCTTGTGAATGCCACCTGTACATGGTCTGTAATAAATAAAAAGTAAATTTAAAAATACAAACTAAAAACAATTGAGTATAAGATACAATAATAAGTATTTAATATATTACCCCGAAACGCGAAAACATCTGTGTAAGAGCCTCATTTGGAATATCACTGAACTGGGCCCACAGATGATCCAAATTCTCCCAAAAGAGACGAGTACATGCACTGTGGATTTTTTGATCCCCAAACCTACAGTATTGAAAAAACTATATAAGTATAATTATAACATCAAAAAAATTAAGTTTTAAATGATGAAAACACTAACTTTTCCCCATCTCGGCTGATGAGGGGCAACGACGAGGCATAAAAATCACTCGCATTCGAGCCGTGACCTCCTGAAATACCTCTAGAGGCGGAGCCATGCGGCGTCAATGGCATGTTCGGTGCCATCGGTGTGTGTGAGGTATATGGTGACCGAAAGGTTGCCTCTGCATCTGCACCCTCAAAACAATAATAATCAAATCCATCATTACCACCTGTCCTCAAAAACGTTTGTGGGGACTGGGACCTATAATCCGTCTGTGGGAGCTGAGGCCTATAATCCGTCTGTGCGAGCTAGGGTATATGAACTGTCTCTCGAGCCCGACGGCAAAGAATCCCGGCCAAGTCTGGTAGAGGATTAGCCATGCCGGTTGGGTACAGAACAGGCACTTCATGACCCTTCACCTTCTTGCCTTTTAAAAAATTAACCGTATCATTTCGAAATACATGTCTTTCGGGTAGATCTTTTCTATGACAGTCAAACCAACATGGTTTTTGTCTGTTGACAAGTCGGAATGATTCTGTTTGGTGTATGCAATATGGGCACGCTAAATTACCATGAGTGCTCCATCCGGACAACATTGCATAAGCATGGAAGTCACTAACTGTCCATCGAAGTACAACCTTCATCTGAAAATTGGTCATTCGATGAGCATCATAAGTTTCAATCCCATCTATGAACAACATCTTCAACTCTTCCACCAGAGGTTGTAAACAAACATCCAAATTCTATCCTGGACTCTTCTTCCCAGGAATGATCAATGGAAGTTGTATGTATTGATGTTTAAAAGCCAACCAAGGGGGTAGGTTGTATACAGTGACAAACACGGCCAACATGAATAGGGAGTTGTGTTTGAACTATTAGGACTAAACCCATCGGTGCACAACCCGAGACGAATGTTGCGCGTCTCATTTGCAAAATCAGGATATGTTTTGTCAAAATGACTCCATGCTTTACCTTTACTGGGATGTATCATCTTTTCTGGATCTATTGAATGATCTGCATGCCAAGTTAAATGTTTGGTCGTCTTCCTTGAATAGAAGGGCCTTTGAAGTCTCGATCCAACCGGCATGTATGTCAAGAACAAATTAGGAACCTTCCTCCCTTTGTCTTTGTATCTATTTTCGCCACATACTGCACAATGATCCAAATCAACAAACTAGCCCCTGAATAGCATGCAATGGTTTATACACACATGAATCGGTTCTGAAGGTAATTTTAGTGGCTGCAACATTTTCTTGGTCTCGTAGAACCTATTAGGAAGCTTCTCGCCAGATGGTAGAATGTCTTTAACAATCAAAAGTAGTTTATTAAATGACGTGTCTGAAATATTAGATTGTGATTTCCAGTCCAATAATCTAGTGGTGGCGGCGAGTTTGGAAGTTTTTGTACACCCGTCCCATAAAGGCTCACTCACTTGTTTTAAAATTTTATAAAAATTTTGGGCTTCAAGATTTGGGTGGTGTGGTGTTTGTTGATAATAAGAAGCCTCAGGTTGGTGCATGCTTTCGATGACAATCACCTCGTATCCACAATAATCACCAAAATCGTTATCAATGTGTTGACCCGTTTCAGGATTTGAACTTTGAACCACATGTTGAGCTGATATTGGGTTTGAACATTGACCAATCTCTAGTATTAGATATTTTTCGCCATGTAAATTGGATATTTTTCGCCATGTAAATACCATAGTGAATAACCATTCATGAATCCTCGGTCAATAAGATGGTTAAAAACTAATTCTCTCGGGAGGTAATAAATATTTTTGCATTTCGCACATGGACATATAATTTCAAAAACTTTCACCCCTTCCCTAATAATACGTTGGATGTTTGTTGCGTTCGTGTAAGCAAAATCCAAAAACAAATTGACATAATGTGGCCATTGTGGATTAAACAATCGACGACTATCAAGTCTCTTCGTGTACATCCATTCTCTATTAGACAACATATTGATCTAAAACTACATTGCCATTTATAAATGTTAGAACTCTAACATTTCAATATGATAATGTAACATCCCATTTCATCTAATACGTATAACTAACATTTCAATATAATAATGTAACATACCATAATACACATTTTAAATTAACTAAAAATCCATATATAAACATTTATCTAACATTTTTAACAAATTTAACAAATTAACTGAACATTTTTTATATAACACATATATCATATTTAACAAATCTAAAACTTCAAATTCAACCTATATATCATATTTAACAAATCTAAAAACACAAAATCAACCTAACATTTAAGAAAAAAAATTATGAAGTAATTTTAACAAATCTAAAACCACAAAATCAACCTAAAACCTCACATTCAACAAAAATCCACCTTACCAATGAAGTAATTTTAAAAAATCAACCTCACATTCAACAAAATCAACCTAAAATGAAGTAATTTTAAAAAAGAAACAAAAAAAAACTAGGGTTTACCTTCGTGGGCGGCTATGGAAAAATGCAGGAGGTCCGGAAGGAGCGCCGGCGACGGCAGTCGCGTCGGAGACGGGAAAACGCGGGAGGGGAAGGTGGGTTGGCGACCAAAAATGGGGTAAGGGTTTGTTCAGCAGGTAGGGTTTTTTTTTGAGTTGCTGTCTAACAGCTGCGAGAAGGGGAAGAAGCAGATAAAAGGGACGGGGGTTGATTTTCATTTAAAATGATCAGCGTGGCAAAAAAAAAGAAAAAAAAAACTAGGTGGAACTAGAATCGAGCTCGCGTCTCACATATACATAACCCACAATCTTACCATACGGCCGGACATGCCACATCCTTACTAGAATGGACTCCAATTAGTTTTAACTTGTTTCCAGAAAATAAAGAAAAAAGCGCTGGGGGTAGGAATCAAACTAGGGTCTCAAGCAGATATAACCAAAAATGCTACCAAACGGCCGGGTATGCCACATCCTTACTAGAATAGACTGCAATTAGTTTTAATTTGTTTCCAGAAAAAAAAGAAAAAAAAGTTGGGGGCAGGATATCGAACTCGCGTCTCACGCATATATAACCAACAATGCTACCAAACGGCCGGGTATGCCACATCCTTACTAGAATAGACTCCAATTATATTTATTTTGTTTCCAGAAAATAAAGAAAATCAATAATAATAATAATAATAATAATAATAATAATAATAATACTAATAATAATAATAATAATAATTATTATTATTATTATAATAATAATAATAATAATTATTATTATTATTATTATTATTATTATTATTTCAATATTCGAGACTTAAAACTTTTTTGAACAAATTACTGAAATAGTCCCTGTGGTTTGGCTAAAGTTGCGTGTTTGGTCCCTATCTTTTGTTTTGCACTCGGACCATCCTCACGTTTTCTTTTTATTACCCGCCTGGCCCCTGGGTCCGTTAGTCGTCAACTCCAAACGTTAAGTCCCCCACGTGCTTCACACATGAGGGGTATTTTCGTCATTTTATACATGGCGTATAAATGCAATGCCAATCGTTTCTTTATTCCGATCATTTTACGATCACCTCCCTCTCACACACTCTCTCTCTCTCTCTCACTTAATCTGTAGACTGTAACTCATCAAAATCGAGTAGAAACCCTAACTCCTCAAAATTCTGCAAGAATCATCGAAGCAACAATGGTGGGTTGGAGGATTAGAGCAAACATGGAAGAAATAGACGTTGAAAAACATTATGGTAACCCCTTATTTTTAAAAGTTAAATTTATCACTTAGAAATTTCAAGATAATAAGTTGAAGCTTTCTCTTTTACAGCTGGTCATCCAACTATCTTCTCCATCAGATTATTCTATGGTGGAGAGTTTAAGAAGTTTCTTGGAAGGAGGTACGTCAAGGGAAAAGAAAGATACGTTGATCTATTGGACATTCATGAGTTTTGTGTGCACGATATTGATGAGATAATGGAGACCCTAGGCTATGTTGAGGAGGGTAAGTTGTTTTATTACCACTTCAAAAGACCCTTTTCAGATTTGGACTTTGGGTTGTTTGCACTGGCTAGTGACAGTGACATTAACCATTTGGGTACATACGTGGGTAAACATAAACTGATTGAAGTTTATGTTGAACATGGTAAAACAATGTTGCATACATATACAATGTCATCTACCCCTAGTAAAGTTAGGATAGAAGAAATCGTTGATCAACCTTTGTGTAGTAGAAGGCTATTTTTGGAATGGAAGGAAACTGAAACAGGGGATTGTATTGGATCAAGTAAACCAGATGTTGTGCCAACAAAAGAAACTGAAAGTGACCAAATTGATGCCCAATGTGAAACACAAGGTATATTTGATGAATTTGATGAAATTCTAAATGAAGAACCTGGAGGGATTACTCATGAAAGTGACAATAGAGATGATCTTGATGATAGTGATGATAGTGAGTTCTTAGTAGACTTAGATAACCTCCTAGATGAACCTGAGATAGACATGAATGAGTTTTTGTTAAATATTAATGAAGATATAGAGTGGGTGGGTGATCTTGGAGGGTCAAATGTCAAGGAAATAGAAACAAGGGAAATTGATGATATTGAGGTTGTAAACAATGAGGTATTCTTATATGAGTCATCATCTGATGAAGGTGGGAGCAACAGGAGAAGAAAGTCAATTAAGGCAATCCGAAGGGCAATGGAAAACAATGAAGCAAGAGTTAGTGATCCATTCTATGTATACCAAAAATTCACCTCATCTGAAGAATTGAAAGATGCAATAAGAAAACATGATGTGGAGACAAGGAGGGAACTAGACTTCATAAAAATGACAAAAACAGAGTGAGAGCTATTTGTAAAGGTATTATCCCAGACCTTGGTCAACTTGACCCATGTGGGCCCAGTCAAAGCAATAAAGAAAGTGAAGAAAACAAGTGTCCATGGGTACTTTATGCTAGCAAGTGGGAACAAGATGTTGACTGGGAGATCAAGACCTACGAAAAAGAGCATAAATGTCTACAAACAAGAAATGTGAAAGCTTGTACCTACAAGTTCTTGGCAAAGAAAATAGTGCAACAGATTGAAAGCAACCCTACAGTCCCTACACGAGCTTTACAAGAGCAACTTCAACGTGAATACCAAGTAGATATTTCGAAGATGAAGGTATTTATGGCTAAAACAGAAGCATTGAATCAAGTAAGGGGCGATTATGCAGGGCAATATACTACACTAAGAGACTATGTTCAAGAACTTCGCACTCGAAACCCAGGGACAACAGTTAAGATAGAGGTCGAAAGTGAGCCAAACCCAGCTTCTGAGACTAGAACTTTCAAACGGATCTACATCTGTCTAGGGCCATTGAAGAAAGGTTTTCTAGCTGGTAAAAGAGATTACTTTGGTTTGGATGGGACTTTTATGAAAGGGCCTTATCCTGGAATGATACTCACAGCAGTACTAAGATGTAAACACATATCTTGTGTCATTTTATTCCATTTTATTTAAATTACTAACTCCTTCACTATGTTTAGGGTCTTGATGGAAATAACTGTACATATCCTTTGGCATATGCTGTCGTAGAGGATGAGAATATAAATTCATGGACTTGGTTCTTAAGGTGCTTGGGTGATGACATTGATTTGCAAGCTAATTCCAACTTTACCTTTATATCTGACAGATAGAAGGTACGTAATTTCAATGGACTTGGTTCTTATTGTACATTGTATACATTACATCTAATGTTGTTTATTTTTGTACAGGGCTTGCTGCAAGCAATTGGTACATTGTATCCATGTGCAGAATACATGTTTTTTCTGCGACACATTCATGAAAACATGAAGAAAATGTGGAGGGGAAAGGTGTTTCAGGACATGTTGTCGAACTCTGCAAGTACAATAACAATACAAGAACTCAACCATGCTATGGAAAAGTTAAGAAAGCTAAACAATGAGTGCTACGAATGGGTCAAAGCTATTCCACCTCAACATTGGTCTAGGGCACACTTCACAGGTTTGTTTTATTTTGTTGGGTTAATTGTTACCAAATGATTCACTTTCTAACATAATTTTTTATTTATATTGTAGGGAGGGCTCATTGTGATGGGCTTCTGAATAACTTGTGTGAGACCATAAATAATCAAATTAAGAAAGCATGCGACCAACCAATTATCACATGCCTTGATTTCATTAGAGAGTACCTTATGTTAAGGATTGTGAGTGTCCAAAAGGTAATTGATAAGGCTGTTGGACCATTAACTCCAACTGCAACAAGTGTGCTTGAAAAAAACAAATCTGATGCAGCTCAATGTGTAGGTAAGTTCTGTGGGAAGAAAGGGAATGTTGGGAAGAAAGCTCAAAGTGCAGGTGGTGGTAGGCAAAATGGAACTCAAAGTGCATGTGATGGAATTTCAAGCAGGACAAGGAAGGCTGGGAAGAAAGGGAAGAGTATTGCTTAAGTTATGACTGTGTTTTCATATTTTGTGTCTGTGTTATGAACCAATTATGGTGTTATGATCTTTTGTGTTTGTTATATTTGTCATTATGTTTTGTGTCTGTGTTATGAACAATTATGGTATGACTTTTGGGACTTGTTGTCTATGTATGGTATGACTTTTAATGTATCTCTATTTTCAATTATGGTATGAACAATTGGTGTTATTAATTTGTTGCTATGTTTTTGTTTTAATTCCATTCCATTTAATTCAATTCTATCCAATCATTCAATTCAATTCCATCAATCATTCAATTCAATTCCATTCTAATTCAATACC